TGATAATTATTGAAAATCTCGGATGAAGCACGACATGAACTTAGCGGATTCACCAACTACATTATGTCTATACAGTACTATTTAAATGTAAAGTTTAAAAACAAGAAATGTCACAGCGAGGTACTTCCTATAATATTGAAAAGACCTACGCAGTGTAAAAGTAGTACATCGCTGAATATTGTACTGATTACCAGTTCCATAATAAGATCCTGTTCTATCAAATGTACGTTCAAGCCCGGTGAACATTTTGCGAAATGCTTCTACGCCAATGAACGACTTCGATTCGGTGATCGCCTTAGAAAATATCAGCAAACAAGGATACTATCCTTGTCCATATATGTATGATATTCCACTGGAATATACATTGGCGGCGATTCGTGAGATGGGACGGTTCCACGGTAAGGGATACGTCATGAAAAGAGCGGCAGAGCGAAAAGTTCTTCGATATTGTGAAACGAATTCGAGAAATTAGATACGATGCGACGATGTATGAATGGATGAATTTTATCGATATAATTGCAACACGAGCGGTGGAATATCTTCGCAATCATGATCACGTTTGCGATAAAACGGAAGCTTTACTCTCGCAAGCGTATGACAAAGTGATGATGAAGACGGCGGAGCCGCGGGAGTCATTGTCCACATTGTGTCATGGCGATTTTACATTGAGCAATATTCTTTTTAGTGATGCACGAAGACGAGACAAGACGATATTTATGATTTTTTACTAAGATAAGATCATATTTCTGAATCTAAAAGTATAATCCAATCAGTGCAAACAAAACTTCCAACAGTTGCAAAATAAACTTTCTGCTGAACGCAATTAATTGGAAAAAGGAAGGCAGCATAGACGATTGGGCGCGTGCATAAGGGTACGTTTCCACTGAGCACGTCACGACGTCACGCGTTGCGTCGTCCATCGTGTCACGACGCGTCGCGAAAAAGAGAAGTTTATAATATTATAATAAAATTGTATTGATTTTATTTCATTGCAATAACACGATATAGATTAATATAGATTATAATATAAAATAGTAATACTCCATATATCAGTGAAAACATTTATATTCATTTATATAAGTATGAATAATAAGCCACTAAACGTAATTAAAATTATTTCTATATTTTTTCTATTAGATGTTAATAGATCTATTAATTTGATATATTTCCAATATATTTATTTATTTGATATTCGATATTTTCGATATTCTTGAGCCGAGAATATTGATCTTGGAAAAGTAATATTGTCTCGTATCGAAATTTATTAAATCAATATTGTCTTGATATCGTCTTGATTTCGAGACAAGACAAGACAAGACAAGAATCTTGATGTCTCGAATATTGCATGCATCACTAATTCTTTTCAAAACGGAAAACGATAAATATGACGCATCGATTTCGCGCTTTGTAGATACTCGACTCCCGTCATTGACCTTTCTACGTGTAGTTGTTTGTGCTGTTCGAATGAACTGATAAAAGATAAATTCTTCGAAATAACACGAGTTTATCATGACGCTTTGAAGGATTATCTTCAGGAGGCCTGGCATTTCGAATATCGAGAAATACTCGTATAAGACTTCGCTGGACGATTACAGAAGAGGTGGTCCAGGATTACCACAAATCAGGGAAATAAGGGAAGTTAGGGAAATGTCGGGGAATTAAAAAAATGCGTCAGGGAAGTCAGGAAAAGTCAGGGATTTAGCACACTTGTCAGGGAAAATAAAATAGCTAAATTTAATAAAAGGTAAATAAATTTATATTGCCTTGTGCTGCTGTGATATTGATTTGGACTACCTTTTTCTTTTCGGAATTCGTTTTCTGAAGGAAATGTGCATCTATGTTACATTGCTGGTTCAACAAAATATTTACCATTTTCCGTATTACGATAAAAACACAAGAAACATTGCAAAATATGTATTATTCAAAGTCAGGAAAAATCTCAAAATTTTGTCAGTAAATCAGGGAAATGTCAGGAAATTTTACGATTAAAAAATTTGTGGCAACCCTGTGGTCTCTTTGGTTTCATCGTCGCATCCTTCTTTTTACCGATGACAAGAGGATATAATTAATACAGATGTTGAACAATTAAAATGCATGGAATTTACAGAAAGAGCGGAAATGCTGAAGTATTGCGGCGGAGACGAAATGTCTAAGATATTAGCTAACATGTTATTATATTTTGAAGGATCTTGGTTGTTTAACATATTTTTAACAACAATTTCGAGACGCGTAGATGCATAGATTATCATCAATCAATAATTATAAAGTATCAATTAAAAAAGATATATGTGTATGTTCACAGCATCTACATTATTTCTACGATTATTAACAACGTCCCTTTGCCAAGAATTATGTATGACATGCGCATAATGACATCCTATGTATTTTTACGTACAGTTCGAAGAGGCTATGGTTATTCTGTAACGTTTCTCTCCTACTTGATATTCCTATACAGCGAATCCATTTCACATAGATAATAGGTACTTGTACGTACATAAGAAAATCATAACAGTTAGAAGTCTAATGGATTACATTAGATATTTGTGATTCGGTGAGCGTCCAAAATATTAAGTATAGAAAAAAGACACATTTCTATATATAAATAAGTAAAAATATACCGTTATTAATAGATTAATCGATAGATTTAATTAATAGATAAGTTAGAGATATTAAATACTAAAATAGTTGTTTTATTTCAAATTGTGCAACAAAAAATCTTCCTCTGAAGAAAATATCCAACGTTAAAAAGAGAAATATAACTTTTTTACTTAAAAAGATACAATTTTATTATTAAAATTGAATTAATCATAATCCATCGTTTCAGCGTTTATACATATATTATCATTATACTGATTCTGTATCACCGCAGAAATATCACAGTCTGTCAGATCTTAAAATACATTATTTTGCATTTATATTTATAAGTAGGAAAAAGTTGCCGAATGCATACTGGTCGCCTAAATTGTACCTCATCAATATTTTATATTATTGCTTGATATATAGGCAATATATAGTAACAATAATATAAAATACATGAGAAATGAGTAATATAGACAAAAATATAATAGCCTATGTCTTGTTTAATGGATGCTAACGGCATTTTAATAAATCAGATATATCTGATATTAATTTTCATCAATTTATATAGCTGATAACGTAATCATCCAATTTCGCTATAATTTTTTGTATTTTTGTAGAAAGTTTATTGTAGAATGTTTTACATTCATTATATACACATATTTGCAACTATTATGAAGATTGAATCGATTTTTACAAAATCCACCAAGTTTTCTAAATCGTATCATTAAAAAATAAGACTGATAATTGACAGAAATGAAACTAATAATAATTGAAATAATAATAAAATTGATATGAGTACAAAAATGTCAAGAATGCAGAAATAATTATATTTGAACCAATTTACTTTAATGTCATTTGTCTTTACATTATTATTATTATTTATCAATTCTAAAATGCTTGATTATTTTTATTAAATAATTACATTAAATTAGACAGTTAATTATTAGGTATTTTTTTAATGATTTGGTATATTAATCTTACACTTTTAATTGTTTTTAATCACAAATTCAATACTTTCAAAGGAAATACGATTTCAAAGACCTATAGGTATATAGATGATTTAGTGTATATAACAAATTAATTTGTTATCGGTGAAAAGTTATTAAACATGTAATAATAAGTGTCCGAATACGCTATAATCTTCAATGTTAATTTACGTATAAAACCAAATGGAAACTATAATAAAAAATAACTCTCTCCTGTTGTAATTTTTTCAAAAAAGCAAAATGTGGAATATTTACAAAGAATCTAGTCATATAAATATATATTATAACAAAACAAGAAAATTAATTTTTCAAATTTCTTAAATAACAACAGTTCTTTAAAAGTATCGCTAACATTATAAATGTTTTATAAAATATTAAATATTCGCTAAATTTTTGTCACGCTTGCATTACGTTCTTCGTTAATCTCATGTTACAAACCAAAAAGATCATGTTCTTTTACATTGAGTCATTCAGTTTCCACAGTCATTCATTACTCTTCGTACGATTCCGTATTTCATCTACTTTCTTTCAGCTTTCTTTGAGTGGCCGCGTATTGTTCGCGAAAGCATCTTTCGTGACCCCGTTTTTTTTACATCTATTCGAACGCCACAGAAGAGAGACGGAGATGAACCGTTTAATCCTCCAGAGTGAAGCACATAAAAAGACATTAGTCTCTTATTTTTAAGTATTTTATCATTTTCTAAACTCACTTAAAAATAGAATAGAGATAAGCTATTAGATACCAACTTATATTTGATAACACCATTTATAACACCAAAAATACAATTTTAAAGTTAGATAATAATCTGATCGCATTTTATTGTATGCACTGTTTTAACAAATTTTTAACGCGATTTATTGTAAAATATTTTCTAAAAGTTTATCACTGTACGTATAACAATAATCCTGCGATAATTTTATCAAATTTTACAAAAATATTGCAAATCAAGTATTACACAATTTGTATATATCGTCGTGCATGCAATGTGGTATGCTGTATATTATATACACACGTTCTCTCAATTGCATAAGGAGGAATTTATATTTTATATGCTGAGGGGATATATATATAACTCCAAAGAAGAGTCGAAACGATACAGAATTAATGTTTTAATTTACCAATAAACGGATTATATCTCAATAACAACCGAGTCGACTCTCATTTGCCTGTTCTTGGGAACACCTTACTTCGTTTATATACACAAATATTGTATATTGTATACAATAATTATAATTAATCAGTTATAATTTATGATTCTTTAGATATGATTGTGAATTAATTACATACGCTATTTTCTTGCGTCGATATACGTGCGTGCTTTCATAGTATTATAATCTTTTTACTACTCCCACTTTCGACGATCTACTTTACGATCTTTATACATGGCAAAATTAGCTTCATTTATAATATCTCTAGGAAATAGGAGTGACAGTAGTGCATAAGTCGCAGTATAATCAAGATAACGAATCCGTCTGTGCAGTGCTTGCTAATGATTACGCGACATTTTAATAACACCGCTAATAAAATGTCTCGCACTGAAGACTTTGAGAAATGTAATAAAGAGGTAATATTAAAAATTATTGAGAATCTCAAAGAAAACGACGAAGTTCGATATGAGATATCCAAACAAGCCAATAATCTCATGTCAACCGTCTATAATATATACGTGAAGTTTAAGAACAGGACGAAGGATCGGAGTGAGGAATTTTCTATAATACTGAAGAAACCCACGCAGTTCGAATTTCTTAGACAGATAATTCGCAGCGACGTTCAATTTCACAACGAAATTATATTCTACAGCATGTATGCCCAACCAAATGAGAATTTTGCGAAATGTTTCTACGTCGATGAACGACCGCCTGCCGATTCAGTGATCGCTCTCGAGAACGTAAATGGACAAGGTTATTATTCTTGTGCGTGGCCATGTAAGTTCGACACTCCTTTAGAATATACATTGGCAGCGATGCGTGAGATTGGACGATTCCACGGTAAAGGGTATGCGATGAAGGAGCTACAACGCGAAAAATTTTTCGCTATCGTAGAACAGCTTCGAGAAATTAAATACGACAGAATGCTAAATAAAAAGAATATACTCTTTCTTAATTTGACCGCGACGCGAGCGGTGGAATATCTTCGCAATCAGGGTTACGATACGGCCTTTTGTGATAAAACGGAAGCCTTACTCTCGAATGCGTTCGATGAAGTAATGATGAAGACGGTGGAATCACGAGAGCCATTGTCTACGCTGTGCCATGGCGACTTCACATTGGACAATATTCTTTTCAAGATGGAAAACGATGGACAGTATCGAGCATTGTTGATCGACTTTGCATTTTTTAGATATACAACGCCCGTCGTCGATCTTTCCACATATTTATGTCTTTCTTGCTCGAACGAAGTGAGGAAGGATAAATTCTTCGAGATAATGCGAGCCTATCATGATGCGCTAAAGGAATATCTTCTAGAGGCTGACATTTGGGATAGCAAAAAGTATTCTTACGATGCTTTGCTGGATGATTACAAAAGAGGTAGTCTCTTCGGTTTCGTTATTGCATCTTATTATTTGCCAATATTAATGGGATACGTAAAGAAAAGAAATATAAAACGTATAGAAGAGTTTGAAAGCGAAGAAGCAGCAATACAAAACAAACAATTAGGCGGAGATAAGATATCTAAGATATTAGCTGATATGTTGCTACATTTGAGAGATCTTGGTTGTTTACAATATTTTTCACAATAAGACAATTTTATTTCACAACGTATATTGACCTTAGATTATTATAAATTAATAAGTGTAAACTATAAATAAAGTAAATTTAAGTAATTAACAAAATATCATGAATACATAATGTAGACATGAAAAGCGTTTCTGTATAGATTGTAATTGAATATACTGTAATAAACACATACATCTATTGTAAATCGATGTAATATAAATATATCTTTATATTATAAAAATATATGCTTTTAGAATATAACACTTTTTTTTTAGATTTAATTAAGCAGTAGTATGAAAAAAAGATGTTGATTTATTATCTATTATGAGTCAAAATCTTGTGTACCGTTTGAGATAAGAGTGTAACTTAATAGCATGTATGATATATATGTATATTATATATATAGCTCTGATAATAAAATAAGACTTATTCAAACTTATAAATCAATCCCATGACAGACAACAAAAAGCGTCTAAAATCTTCATAACATGTTTTTTGCGTCTAAAAGACGATTTAAAGACGTCTTAATGTCACAAATTTATACTTTGTGTTATTTGGGAATTCTTTGTTTGAAAAGAAATACAATTTTATTTTATTTTGTCTGTATAAATATGTATGTGTGTGTATATATACACATATACATACATACATCTAGATTTTATATACTATATTTTATATTCTAACAGTAGAAACAAACAGAACGAATGAGAGTACGGCGCGATAATCAGTATGCGAAGTAATAAAGTAAGAAATTTTATTACTCCTTCATTCTATAATTAGTAATGTAATCAATTATACTTTTTGTCTCTTTTTGGAGTACTTAGCAAATGCAAAGATTAATGTGCATCTCTCCTTTATATGTCAAATTTGAGTCACTAACAAATGGACAGATTTGATGTGGCAAAAATCCCAACAAATAAATAAGCCGTCTTGAAACTATGAATTAAAAATTATATAATTATTATACAAGTATCGTCGCAAGTATAAATGAGTTGGATAACAATTCTTATAAATATCATGCTTCCTTTTATATGATTTTTAATTTGATCCAAAGTTTCAAGACAGTTTCTTCATTTGTTGGAATTTTTGCCACGTCAAATCTGTTAATTTGTCGATGACTCAAATTTGACATATAAAGGAGAGAAACACATTTATTTCTGTATTATAATATTTACTGAGGAGGATTCCATAGAGAGACGAAACGTTCAATTACATTATTAATTATGGAATAAAGAGTTAATAAAATTTCTTACTTCACTACTTTACGTATTGATTACCGCGCCGTACTCTCATTTGCCTTATTGGTTTCTACTTTCTACTATTAGTTTCAATGTTTGAGAGTCCGTAACAAAATTACGTTTGGATTGGTTTAAATTTACTGTTTCAAATAAGTAAATTACGGAAATGAAACAACGTATATAAGAGGTGCGGTTGAAATTGGATCCCGCTTATATGTATACGCGACACTCAAAACGGACGTACTATTGCAGCAGTGTCCTCCCCCTCCCCCCCCCC